GGTAGGAAGGCGGGCTCCCGGCTCCCGGCTCCGGCTCCGGCAGCAGCGGCGGCAGCCCGAGCAGCGGCAGCAGCAGCAGCAGCGGCAGCACCCCCAGGCGCTGACAGCCCCGCCGGCCGGCTCCCTCGCTGACCGCCGACTGTCAATGGAGCTGGAAAACATCGTGGCCAACACGGTCTTGTTGAAAGCCAGGGAAGGTAAGAGGCAGGGCTGGTGCGCGCCCGGCCCCTTCGCCGCGGGCCCGGGTGCGGTGCCGGGCGGCGTGCGTGTGCAGGATGCCCGCAGCGAGTGGGTCGTGAGCCGGACACCCCGGAGAGCTGCCCCGCCGGCGCCCCAGGTGGGCTGCCCGTGGGCTCCGGGCATTTATTTGGACTTGGGCGGGGAAGGAGCCACACCGAGGCTGGGGGTGCCAGCCTCCTGCCCTAACCTTACAGACCTCTCGGCAGCTGGTGGAAAGGTCAGTTGGGAAAGCATTGGTTCAGGAAGAGATGGGCAAACATGCAAATAAAATAGCTTTCCGAGTCGGCCCAGGACGGGTTCTAGGAGTGTGAATTGGGGTGTGTGTGAGTTGGGGGGGCGGGGGGGGCGGCGGAATGAGCAGAAGCCAAGTGTTTGCCTGCGCAGGCTGAGTTGATACAGGCTGTTGCTGGAAACCATCCGCTGGGAATGTTTCTCAGGGAAATCCCGTCGTGTGGAAGGAAGCCTTTTAAAGGCAAAGTAAGATGTTGAGGAATTAGCCTGTTCCTAGAATAACGAGAGGGTGGATGTACAAATCATCTAGAAAATAAGTCAGGATTTCAGAGGTCCCCCCCCCCTTTTTTTTGGCGGGGCGTGAGGGGGGGTGGGTAACAATTGTTTGGTTTTGGCTCCATTAAGAAAGGTAAGTGTGCCGGTGCTTAAATGTAATGATTTGCATTTTGGGTGCAAATCATTACATTTCCTGCATTTAGCTGGCAGGAAATGTCTACACGGAGTGGGCAAGATCCTAAAGTCAAAGCTATAAACACACGTTTTGACGCTTCCTTGAGATGAAAAAAAAAAAAAAAGTGGCCCAGAAACTTAGATGGCTTCTGAAATGATTGTGCGCCTGTAAACAGACGATATTTAGGAGCACCTGGAATTTTATGTAACATCTCCTTTGCCAAGATGTGAGCTCTGGTGGGCAGCCTTTTTATAAAACGGGGAAGTGGTTTCTCCGCTTCATGGGAGGAGACTTTATTTGACACCCAAGGTAGGAGGCAGCCCGAGTGAGGTCTGGACTTCAGAAGAGCACTGGGGGAGCAGCCCACGAAAATGCCGTACCTGCTTCCCCACATTTCCTCTCGCCCACTTTGGGGAGCGAAGGGAGGGTTTCTGGCCAGCGGTGGACCGGTTTGTGTCGATCCAGCCGGGTCCATCCCCTTGTGGCTCTGCGGCTGGGGCGGTGCACAGCCCAGCCCTTCAGCCCCCTGTTCACGTCGTAATTCCGTCCTCACTTGTCGCTCTAAAGCCGTCAGCCGCCTGGAAGGTTTGCTTTGAAAACCCCAGCAGAGTTTAAAATATTCAGGTCTATCAATCCCGCCCCCCCCCGCTCCCCCCCCGCCAGTTACTCAGCTTTGGTGTGAGAACACATTTGTGG